AAGCACATGATGGGAAGCGCTTGGGGAAAATGCTTTCGGGCCAATCGTCCTCTAGATTTTTTTACCATTTTCCAAGTGTGCGTGAAAGCGGGCGCGCTTGAGCGAGTGTTCTTACCATTTGGCAGCCATGTGTGCAGTGCTGAGCGGGTGCGTTCGTGCGGGTCTTCTTACCATTTGGCAGGCAGGTGTGCAGGGCTGCGCAGGCGCACTGATGTTCTTACCACTTGGCAGGCTCATGTGCAGCGGGTGCGCTCGAGCGGGTGTTCTACTTACCTCTTTCCAGGCGTTCCTGCAGCGTTGAGCGAGTGCGTTGGAGCGTGTGTTGTTATTATTGCCATTTTGCAGGAATGTGCCCAGTCGCGAGCTCGTGCTGAGCACGCGCGGTCGAACGCGTGTTCTCACCATATGTGGGCAGTGCTGAGCGGGCGTGTGTTCTTACCATTCTAAGAGAGAGGGAGAGAGAGAAAGAGAGAGAGAGAGAGAGAAAGAGAGAAAGAAAGAAAGAAAGAAAGAAAGAAAGAAAGAAAGAAAGAAAGAAAGAGAGAAAGAGAGAAAGAGAGAAAGAGAGAAAGAGAGAAAGAGAGAAAGAGAGAAAGAGAGAGAGAAAGAGAGAGAGAGAGAGAGAGAGGCGGGAGAGAGAGAGAGAGGGAGGGAGAGAGAGAGAGAGAGAGAGAGAGAGGGAGAGAGAATGAGAGAGAATGAGAGAATGAGAGAGAATGAGAGAGAGAGAGAGAGAGAGACAAAAAGCGAGAATGAGAGAGAGAGAGAGAGAGAGAGAGAGAGAGAGAGAGAGAGAGAGAGAGAGAGACTAGGTCCGCTAGCGGAGAGGTTAGAATTTCTTTAGAGGGGCGTGGCAGGAAGGAGACAGAAAGAGACAGAGAAACAGAGAGAGAGAGAGAGAGAGAGAGAGAGAGAGAGAGAGAGCGAGAGAGAGAGAGAGAGAGAGAGAGAGAGAGAGAAAAAGATACAGAGACAGAGAGAGATAGAGAGAGACAAAGAGAGGGAGATTGAGGAGAGAGAGGCTTGAGGGGATGGGAGAGAGGACGCGAGAACACACGGGGGAGGAGACAAGAGAGAGAGAGGAAGAAGGAGAAAAGGGAGAGGACGATGTCGGCGGACTGAGCCGGAGGCTCTAAAGTTTGGCCCGAGCAGGTGTTCTTACCGATTGAGAGGCGTGTGTGGAGCGGGTGATTCACCCTTTGGCAGGCATGAGCGCTGAACGTGCGCTGAAGCGGCTGTTCTTACCCTTTCAGGGCACATTTGCAGCGCTTCGCGGGCGCGCTTGGGCGGGTGTTCCTAGTGTGCATTGCTGAGCTGGCGCGCTGGATTTGGCACGCACACATCGCGCTGAGCTGGACTCGAGCAGGTGCTCTTACCACTTGGCAGGCGTGTGTGGCGCGCTGAGCATGCGCCAAGCATGCAGCTCTGAGCAGGCGCGCCCGAGCGAGTGCTCCTAACACTTTTGCACCTGTGCGCAGCGCTGAGCAGGCGCGCCCGAGCGGCTGTTCTTACTATTCAGTAGGCATGTGTGCAGTTATGCGTGCGGCGCTGAGCGGGCGCACCTGACTAGGTCTTTCTTAGCATTTAGCACGCGTGCGCAGTGCTGAGCAGGCGCGCGAGCTTCTTACCAATTGGGCGTGTGTGCAGCGCTGAGCGCTTGAGCGGGCGGGTGTTCCCGTCTTACCCCAGTTCTGAGAGGGCGCGCTGGATCGGGCAGCCCTCAAGATTTCGAAGCAACGCGCGTGGCGCTGAGCAGGTGCACTCGAACACCGGGCGTGCGCAGTGCTGAGCGGGCGCAAGCCAGCTGGTGTTGTAGCTGGTGTTGTAGCATTTACCACTTGACCAGCGTGCGCACAGTACTCGACCGGAGTGCCCGAACGCGTGTTCTGTTGGGCACTCGAGCGGCGTTAGTAGCATTTGGCAGGCATGTGTGCAGTGCTGACTGAGTGCGCGCCCTCGAGCGGCTGGTGTTGCGCTTCGGCAGGCATGTGCAGCTGAGCGGGTGCACTCGAGTGGGTCTTCTTACCACGTCTGCACATGGTCAACCATTTGGCAGCTATTGTGCAGCTTTTCCAGCTTGCGCGCAACGCGCGCGTGGTCAGTTGCATACCATTTCGGGACGGCGCTGAGCGGCGAGTGTTCTCACCACTTGCCAAGCACTTGGCAGCTGGTGTCCTTGCACTTGGCAGGCATTTTCGGAGCGGGCGCGCGCGAGCGGGTGTTCTTACCGCTTGGGAGGCACCTTTGGAGGAAGCGGGTGTGCAGTGCTGAGCGAGCGCCCTGTGTTTGGCACGTGAGTGTGTGTGTGTGTGTCGCGCTAGGCGGTGCGGCGGAAGCCCCCGTTGTCAGCCCGTTTTGTGGGAGCGCTGAGCGGGCGAACTTGCACTGAGAGGGTGCGCTGGAGCGGGCGTTCTTACCATGTGGGACGCATGCCTGAAGCGCTGAGCGCCTGCATCTGCGCACGTGCGCAGTGCTGAGCAGGTGCGGTCCGGCAGATCTTCTCAAGCGAGTGTTGTCATCGCGCGAAATTGTTCTTGACTCTGAGAATGTAGGTTTTGAATCGAGCAAACGTTTTTCAGGCTGAGGCTCAAGATTGAATATTCCCAGTGCTCTTGAATCCATGAAAAAAGCGTTCTAAACCGTTTCGGGGTGGCCCCATACTGGAGTCAAGATTGGGGGGGTCCCATGCTGGAGTGAAGATTCAAGGTCTAGAGTCCTTGGAATGTTGAATCTTCAGCCTTAGGCCCAAAAGTGCTTTAAAGCGCTTTAACACATGTTGGGGGTTCCCGAACTGCGTTCGAGATTCAAGATCTAGTCTTGGGAACCTTGAGTCTTGAATCTTAGATCCAAGTGAGCTTTAAAGCGCTTTAGGGCGTTTTGGGGGGTCGCGCGCTGGATTCAAGATTCAAGATCTAGAGCCCTGGGTGTCCTTGGATCTTGCGCCTTAGTTCCAAGAGCGATTTAAAGCGCCTGCTTTCCGTTATGCCGGTTTGGGCGCCTCGTTATCCTCTGCGACTTGCGTACATACACTTGAAAGTTTAGCCTATGGGCATTGGATACGTTTACATTACTTCAACATCTCCACACCAACCCTCGGTTGTTGAAAAGCACTGTAAACTACAGTGTTGTCATGCTGTTTAGCAGGTGTTGCGCAGAACATACTTCGTTAAGGAACATTTGTTGTTTCAGGAGCCTGCGTGGCATTGGTCAATGCATATGAGGTATGAGCAGAGGCTTTGGTTTGAGAGATGTGTGTGTGACATGTTCTGGCCTAGGCCCTGTAGAATATGAAACGTTACCTAACTTGGCTTCTAATTGCACGGCGCCAGGCTTTGCTTACGACGCGCGTTGTCCAATTAATTTTTATTAAATTAGATTGATTGAGTTGATGACCAGAATTTGTATGAAATGATTGGAAAACAAAGATCAAGAGGAGGAATACCACTAACAGCTGATGTAGTAAATGGTTGGAAGCAAAGATCAAGAGGAGGAATACCACTGACAATTTGTTCAGAACGTGGAGGAGCAAATGCTTCTTTTTATGGGTGGCAAAGCCTTCATAAACCATCGTTTTTGATATATCTGTTTAAAATGACTTGGCCGCCGTACATAAGCAGCACGCGCGGGTTTTGGGGCGGGGGGGGTGGGGGGCGGGGTGCGTACAGAGAGAGAGAGAGATACATATATATATATATATATATTTGTGTTTGTGTGTGCGAATCCGGCGCTAAGGGCGCCGTTAAAGCAGTACGATGTCCATTCGAGTTTAAAAAGGTTCTAAACACAAATACGACTCTTTCATCATAGCTTCCTTCTTCTTGCGATTTTTAGGTCGAACATGCTGAGATCGCATTAAACTCATACTATCATCGTATGGAACAAGCAAAGCCTCGGGCGCGCTTGCTCGAGCCTGCTGAAGGGTCTGCGATGGTCGATGCCATCCGGTACACAACCAACCGCTGAGACCTACTGCGACCTCCTGTCTGCGCAAATTGGCGCTTCCCAGCTCGCGTGACTTTGGCGTCTCCTCTGCTTTCTTGGGCACGCTTTTGCCCGTCCATTCTCACAACTTCACCCCTCCCGGCATCCTTCCACGTCTTGGGTCAAACTCTGTGACCCGCTTGCTGCTTTTGATGCGGCACCCCCTTTCAGGATCCGTGGGAAGCGCCTTCTTCACATCCTTCAGCCTGCCCCGCTACCTCAGGACCTCGGCAAGGTTCATGGTGACCGTGCCGCGCTCCTCCACAAAGACCCGGCTCAATTGTTCATCCAGCCGATCTTCACGGAACCACCCTGCTCTCGTGTGATGTCCACTTTCTGCGTCATGAAGCCCCAAGCCTTCTTCCTCTGCTCCGCCCTCGTCCCAGAGGCATTGCCAGCTCCTCATTGTTTTTGAGGCTCCGAGGCGGCGATCAATGTCTGGAGCTTTTCTTCTCAGAACAGGCTCACATCCAACCCTGCCTCCGGAACCACCCGTCCTGAACACCCTTGCCCGTCGGGCGCGCTTGCTCGAGCCTGCTAGAGGGTCCGCGATGGTCGATGCCATCATTTCGGCTGCCAAACGGGATGGGATGACTCATGCAGCTTTAATGCAACTGCCAGGTTTCTGCTTTTCTTACGCCAAGCGTATTAACATCGTCCCGCCCGACTGTCGCGTTGCATTTTGCAATGTGTGTTCAGGGTTGCGTGTCATATGTTGTTTGTAGTGTGTTGCGCTTTATTGAGTGGGTGTATGTGTGTGTGGAGTGCCTGCGCACGTGCCCGCGCGCCTGCATGCCGCAAGCAAGCGCTGATGCGCTTGCGCGTGCGCTTGGGCGTGGGTGGGCAGACGCACGGCGCGCGCGTGCCTGCGCGAGCGTGCGCGCCACGCGTGGCAAGTGGTTCCAAACTCAGTCGATTCGACCACACAGCTCTCAAGTTGAATGTGTCTGTTCCATTGCTCTCCCGGCCTCTGCTGTCTGCCTTTCAGACTGAGAGAAAATGAGTGCTTGAACCCGAGCCTCACTCTCATGGGCAGGTAGGTGAACGCTGACTGAGCCGCTCCCAGTTGACCTCGAGTCTTCATTCACCGGGCCGTTCGTGCTTCGGGCAAGCATTCTAAGCACAGCACACAAAGCACCAAGCCCAAGCCACAGGCAGCCAAGCATGCCTGTCAGAAACCGGCTTTTCCAGCGCTCAACCGTGAGCATGCTAATTTGTTCTGTTTCTAAGCATTTGGAGGGCAATCGCATGGAGGACTTGAGCGACTTGTGCCCATGCTCATACAACCGGCAACGCGGGCTAAGTGTAACTCCAAGCGCCGGGGAAGGTTTGTTCACGCAGAGCTCTTGATTGAAAAATGTGAGGGCTCAATGTGTTGCTGCCGAGCTGTGCCAGGCAGGTTACGAAGAATCGACGTCAAAAATCCAGAAGCCATCATTCTTTTTGCGGTGAGTTGCCTCAATGGGCAACCCTGCTTAGATATCCACAAAACCTTCCTCATATGTTGAGTTGCAAGATGTTGTCTCAGAATATGTTGAAGCCTTGGGGCCTTCAGGACAAGCAGTAAAACAGGAAGAACGACACGCGGTTTCCCATCAAGCCTCGGTGCAACGAGGCAGCACCACGTTCCTCACACCAAATCTGTCCACATTGTGTTTTCGCTGCAACAAACCGCCCAGAACAAAGCCCCCGGGTTTTGAGCCATACTCGCGTTCTGACTGTAAGCCACTTCAATACCGCGCCAATCGGAGAGTGCTTCCAGCAGCTGAGATTCGCACATGATTTTTCAGGCGCCTCATAGAAGTGATGCAAAAGCTGATCGTCATGCAAATGCAGCATCTTTGTCTCTGTGAGGACAAACCTTCTTTTACCATTAGTTTGTGACAATAAAACCGGAAGCGAAGGCTTTGGAAGCATGTTGCACAAATACAACGCCGGCCTCTGGCAAGCCGCAGCCATGAAGCTAACTGGTGAATTTCTCACGCAACTTGAAGCATACGTGTTGTTGCGCCTTACGATTCAGCCGGCTATGGTTGTGTGTTTTTGTGGCATTGTAGCAGTATGAGACAAAGCTTCGGCGAGCGTGGCAGCCACCTGTCAACGGGCAACTACACAAAATGCGAACGCGCGCTCCTGTAAACTCTCTGCGCGTGACCTTAGAGTTGTTGCACTACGCGTTGTTCAGAGACGTGACGAGTGATTTCCATCACTGTGCAGTTGAAGGGACCCACTTGCGTCAACCCGTGTGTTCGCCTGCCTGACCGCTTCTCGCCAAACCTGTTTGGCTTGCTTTGCTCCAAAAAAGAGGCAATGGGGATGGCCCCTACACATAGAGTAAATAGCCAATAGCCGTCAGACCTCGTCTCGCAACATTGGTTTCAACAGGCAGAAAATAAACATGAGCCTGGGCACGACCTGCAGTGGTGCGCTTGTTGTGGCGCTGCGCTCCCTTTTCACTCCTGCACCGTTTGCTCACTCAGGTTCTGGCGTGCGACCGCCAACAATCTTTTGTTTGGCAGGCCAGAAGCCTCTGCCGGGAGCTGTTGGATTATAAATGACCTCGGAGCTAGCGAGTCGATGGTGTCAACTCTTAGAAATACAAGAAGCGACTCTCACGCACGGCCACGCGCGGCTCACAAAAGCAAACACATACAAAATCACTGGCGCCTGTTTTCCCTCGACTCGCTCTTGTCGGACACCATGTGGCCACGCGCAGGAGACTTGTTGCTGGGTCGGCTTCGGCCTGAAAAGCTTGCAGTTGCTTTGCTGACAGTCCTGCCCCCATTCTGGGCAACACCGAGAATGACTCGAGCAAGATTTGTTTGGCAAACCTACAACTGCCTTGCATAGAAGCCCACATTTGCAGTTAATACTGAGCAGCTCTTTGGAGCCATCTAGTATCGCTGAATCAGGGTGACAATTCCGGGGCATATGCAAACAAAACACCATACGCATGATGGATTTCATTGTCTAGCCCTTTGCAAACAGTTTCGTCAAAAGGGTCTCACTTCTGAAATTCTAACAAGGGCCCGTTTGGCGGATATTATTTACAGTATACGTGTGGTGTGTTGGCCAAAAATATCCATTTACAAACCATATATGGATACATCAGTTCGAGATTTCTTTGGGCATGAGGTACTACGCGATCGAACACATCAAGTCAAAGCGGACCAAGTTGGCCGTTCAGTCGAAATTCTCAATATGTCACCCCTGCTAACTGAAAGTTATACGCCAGGGTGGCATTTGAAAGGAAACAAGCAGGTTGGGGGGCTTTCCGGGCTCCTCTTAGCCATTGGCCACGGCCCCTGCCTGCCGTGACTTTCCGGGACTGTCTCCAGCGGATGACCTTCCATGGCGGAGAGTTGGGTCTGTTTGGGAACGAGGAGCTGCGCGAACGAAGGCCCAGGGTGTTGCACACGCGCGATGCAAGCAGATCGTCAAACGGCAAAACAACACAAAGGTTGGAGCTTGTCCTTCTCAATGGGCTTTCGCTCTGCCAATCATGGAAGGGAAGAATTTTCTTCACCCAAAATTGACGGCATATTTTCGGGTTGAGGGACAACCCCTGTGACAAACATGAAGTGCTCCCTCTCTTGGTCCAAGAATGCCGAGCCGCGGGTCCAGCGGATGCGCCGCTCTGTTCCCGGCTCTCGTACTTCGCGGGGCCGGTGCCTTGCCTTGTACAGCCTGTCCGCAAATCAAAGGCTGCTTGATTGATTGACACAGGCTCTCCTGCTTGATTGCGTGTCACAGATTGAATTTTAGCCTTCAGCATGGCCCACAGCCAGGATCCCTAACGCAAACAACAAAGGCTTCACACATGTTCCAAGAACGGCCCTCCCAGACGTCCCAGACAAAGATGATGGGGTTCTGATAGAAATCCAAAATAAATACCACTCCAATTTCGATTCACAATGGAAAGTCCAACTTTCTGGCTTGACCTTCCCAAATTCTTGCTGCAATCTGCCAAGCATCCGCTGCCGGATCAGCCATCTGGCCTGCGTTGACACACGCACACACGCACACACGCACACACGCACACCAATGCAACTTGCGCCTCGCTTCCTTACAGCACGGAGTCAAGACAAACAAGCTAAACTCTGGCAAAGATTCGGAAACAAGCGCATGAGTTGGGACTAATCTGAGAAAAACCTTTTGGAAAAAGCGCTGCCACGATAACTTCCCAGAAGAAGTAGAGAAGCAAGTTTGTGGCCGGCCCCCTTGCAATAATTTCCGAACCCAAGTCACGATCGACCAAGGTGGCACGCATTGCTTGAAATATACCAATACTAGGCACCTACCGCAGCTCTCCCGCTGATTGGGGTGGGCGATTGATTCATGTTCTCTTGGTTTGTTTTTGGGAGCTCTTCACAGTGTGTGAGCGAGCATTATTCTCCACATCTTGAATGGAAATTCTGTGTTCAAACGTAAAGAAACCCTATGGGAAAGATAACCCGTGTAAACTCTCGCTGCAAATGAACAATTGCATATGTGAAGTAGAAGAAAACATAATGCATGACTGGATTCTGTCGTTATCTAATTCTGATCAACCTCTACTTGAAGTGCAAAACGCTCTAGGGATCGCAGCCCCACCTGAATTTTCGAATTCAACACAAACAACTCCAGTAGGATTCGGGAGCGGCTGTTGGTGGAGATGTGAATTGAGTACGAATCAAAGCTACACAGCAGTGCTTGACGGTGCTTTCTGACCAGGGTGGTTCTGAGTTCTTTCCGTGTGAAGTCACTCGAATTAAATGTTGCACAGTGTTTTTTTGCCAAAGGGGGCGGCCGGCCATGAGGCCTGCCGGTCCGAACGTGTCAATTTTTCAGGACTTGCAGGACACAGAAGAAGAAATGATGATCTAGTTGTGATTTTATGATATATTCCAGGACGAAGCTAGTGTCTGCCATTATTGGTTTTTGTTGGGGAAAGTGCAACAACCACGATAAAACCAACACACCAAAAAACAATGTCAGACCCCAAGTATCCCTGCTGGCTGAGGTAGGGTCTGACATTTTGTTTTGCTGTTTTTCGGGTTTCTCTGTGGAACTTGTTTCGGTCAGACATCACTTCATCTTCTTGAGTTTGATTTTAGTCAGCACTTCCCTTCCAAGCAGGATTCCAATGAGAAGTTATTTAGAGCCTTGAGTTTACTTGTTAGTTTGGATATGTAATGGGATCTTATCCAAATTTTGCTTTCAAGTAGACTTGAGTTGTCTATTTGTTTTATTCAAAGGAAGTTTAGTAAGAAAACTTCCGTAATACAAAAAGTTGAATCACAAGAACCGGACGCACTTAGAAGTGAAGTCAGCATGAAACATTGCGAAGGTTACCTCTGTTCTGCGTGCGGTCTCGCCACGGGCTTGCCACGGTTTCGGAATGTTGCGGACTGTAATGCTCGCGCAAACGTATTCGGAGGTCTAGCGTGGCAGGCGCAGCACTTTGGCAACCTGAGGTGCAGATTTTGTGGCAGGCGCAGCATTTTGCGCCCGTGCAAGGTCAAGTACAGATTTCGTGGCAGGCGCAGCACTCTCGCAAGGTCGAGTACAGATTTCGTGGCAGGCGCAGCACTTTCGCAAGGTCAGGTGATAGATAGATAGATAGATAGATAGATAGATAGATGGATAGATCAGCAAGGTCGAGTTGCAGATTTCGTGGCATGCGCAGCACTTTCGACCGATTTTCGCAAGGTTGAGTACAGATTTCATGGCAGGCACAGCACTTTCGCAAGGTCAAGTACAGATTTCGTGGCAGGCGCAGCACTTTCGCAAGGTCAGGCGCAGATAGATAGATAGATAGATAGATAGATAGAAAGATCAAATGGAAAGAGAAAGAGAAAGACAGAGAGATATAGAAAGAAAGAAAGAAAGAAAGAAAGAAAGAAAGAAAGAAAGAAAGAAAGAAAGAAAGAAAAAGAAAGAGACAAAGAAAGAGCGCAACCAAAAAAACAAGCCAAGCTCTTCCTATAGGCACTCTTCTCGCTTTAGAAACTTCCGTCCACCGGCTTCGCCGGCTTACTGGTATTTTCAAGTATACTGTAAGCAGGAATTACTTCCAAATCTAAATGGGGTTTCTTTCCAAATAGATGATTTTTAGTTCACATGTGTCTTAGCAAGGAAAGAAAAGCTGGCGCTTCTTCTAGCTGATTGAATTATAGTTCCTTTGTGAAGCAGAGTTTAGATGGGGTTCCGTTCCAAGTACCTAGGGTTCTACCCAGATTTTAGCTGTAATCTAGATAAGCTGGAAAGGAAAGACAAGCCGGCTGGTTCTTTCAGTTCATTTGAATAGAATTCGGCTGCGGTTAACAGGTGAAGTGCCCAGGACACGATGAACATTCTTGCGGATACGTGTTTCTTCTTGCTGACCCCAACCTTAAAGAAACCCCGAGAAAACAAAAACACCCAAAAACAACAAAGTCTCAGACCCTATGTGCCCATGCTGGCTGAGTGAGGGTCTGACATTTGTTTGGGTTTCTCGAGAGCTTTTTTGTGTTTTTTCAGTCAGTGCAAAAAACTTTGAAAAACAAAAAACTAGACCCTATATGTCCCTGCTGGCTGAGTCAGGGTCTGGCAGTGGCTTGTTGTCTCGAGGTGTGTTTGGTTCTTGAAAAAGTGCAAAAAACCTTAAGCCCAAAAAACTGTCAGACCCCATGTACCCATGCTGGCTGATTTAGGGTCTAACACTTCGGGTCTTTTGGCAAAGTGCAAAAAAGGAGAAAACCAACAAACCAAAGCGCCAAAACTGCAGGCGCAATGTTCTGGGGCCCCCATCTTGAGGCCATGAAGGGGCTATACGGTCTGCGTTTTTTCCGTGTTTTTTTGCTGTTTTACCGCTGTGCCAAAACTCAGGCCCCATGACTGACCCTTCTGTTTCCAAAAGCAGTGAATATTAATACCACACAATTTGTCCAACATTTTGGGACCTTTCTTCGGAGTTCTTCTTTTCCAACGGGCGTTAAGGCAACTTCGCGAAAGCTAGCTCTCTCAGACAGATGACCGGAGAAGGACTAGGCGCACTGGAGAAACTTGAGCGCAAGTGTGGCACGGGAATGGGAATAGAAATGTGAAGAGAAACGCAAACTCTCTCCGGGGTTGGGTGCTTCGGGATGCTCGAAAGATAGCCTGACTCAACTTCGCAACAGGGCAACCTAGAAAATCAAAAGCCTTTACAGGGCGCCCGAAACAACACATGTTCACGACAGTCGTGGCACCTGCGACGGTTCAGGTTTGGCGCAAACAAACCTGCAACCATTAGAAGAAGCCCTTCCAGTGCAAAACGGCCAAGCGTGTGAGGATCAAAAAGAGAGAGACCCGAAACAAGAACTACCGGCATCGCCGGCTCTGCTGGTGTGTTTCTCAGTTCTACTCAAGTTCTAGCAGGCATTGTCAACCGTGCAGCGGACATTTTCGACACACTGGCTGAAGTTGTCACAGTGCAAAGGACAGATCGACTCTCCTTGTTTTCCAACCATGACCCGAGTAAATCGGACACCCTGAAAAACCCCAGACGTAGGCGCAGCCGATCGGGATTTTCTTGCGAAGCCCAGATTAGCGCCGGACCAGAAACACTTCGCAGACCGTCCGAGGAAACATGTCAGACCCGGCAAAAGAAAGAGGGGAACGTCAGGGGTGAATAGAGCTGAACCCAACCCGCCGCAATTGAACGGGTAAACAAGACCCTCGTCAACTTCAGTCCAGTCAGCCCATCCAGGTTTAGTGGAACCCTGAACAGACCTGATGGGTGCAGACGCGGGCTTTCCGATAGAAGGCCGGACCCCTGCAGATGTCCAGCTCCATCACAAAAGGACTCAAAGCAATCAGCATCCCTTGCAGCAGCGGCGCAAATGAAGGGAGCTTGTCAACGTGGTGGTGCGAGCAATAAAACGCCAGAGGCAGACACCTTGTGGGCATTTGTTTGGCGAAAGCGTCGCAGAACAGCCTGGTCCATGTGTGAGTCACCCTTTGCCACCAGGAGCAAGACTCCTCCAGACCTTTGGCAACTTATAGCCGTTGCTTCGAGATCCTCCCCGCGCCCCCCTTATGACGAGCTTTGCTATACTGCCGGGCGGCCTCCGCGGCCGTGTAAAGATTTGTCTCAATGACGTTCTCAAAGCGGCTGCAGGCCAGAACCGTACCCGTTCTTTTGACAAGGACGAAGCCTTGGCAAGCCATGTGAACCTGGTGCTGCGTGAATATCTTGAGGGCCGTAGCATCAATGACGTTTACAAGCGCCATCCGGCAGACATTCCGTTGGCAGACAAGCGGTCGCATGGCCCGTTGTGAACTCACCCTCTGGAGCTTCGTCAAAGACATGCTGGTCCGTCGCGCAAAAAGGGCGGGAGGGGTTGCGGCAAAGCATTGGCAACCCGAACTCGGGTAAGAGCGACCAATAGTGTCCGTTGCTACAAACGACGCCGTCTGATGCCTGTTGTTAAGTGATGCGGTTTGGCAGGACTTCAGCCATGGTTTGGCGAGAATGAACGCTTTGGTGGCGTGGCCGCGTTTGGCATCTGAAAAGGTGTCCAACACCCGTTGTTGGATTGTCCAAGTCGTGGGGCGACACAGTTCGAAGGTCTCACATGCCACTGACAACCCAGAATTTGGCAGTCACGGACACATTCGACGCTCCACAGGCAGTTGGCCAACCCGCAGAGGTAACATTCTCAGGACGAAGCCTTGATGCAGAAGGCGTGCTGGCCAGAATCAAGTTCGTTGAACTACTGGGTGTCCTGGTTCGCTCGCAGCCTGGAGTCAATTTGGCTGCGCCCTGAAAGAAAGGGCTTTAGGCAGGTCGACTCTGGCGTGTTGCTTGCGCACGGTTGACAACCCTCTAGAGTTTGAGGCCGCGTCCGTGGGCTGGGAAGCTTCCGCTGCATGCCTTTTGCTTCAGCGACTTTGCGGAGCCTGCCAGACGTTGTCGACCATGGCGCTGGAGGCAGCACCAAGCTTGGCCGTCTGGATCGCTTCTGAAGGTGACACACTTGACCTGCGGCAAGCGACGCGTTGCGGCGCCGCCCCGAACGATTGCTGCTGCGCGTAGCAGCTCAAGTCAGCTTGGCGATCTGAGAGAATCAGCATCGTGGAAGGTCAAGAACTAAGAAAGCGCCGACAGCGCAAGCTTACCTGCAAGCCATAAGCTCTCACCTGTCCCTACAACCACTCTGTGATGTTGCTGTCTGCCCTCTCTCATCCATCACCTCCATGACACCGCTTCTCTTCATCCAGAAAGACTTGGCATCAGGGCGCCGAAGGTTCTTGATGCGTCCACAAACCCGCCCAGTTCCACGGCATCCAGACTCATGACACCGAAGTACAGCCAAAATGGCCCCAGGGTCTCACATGCCACTTGGCCCCGTGACAACCGAGTATGAAAGCGCGCGCTACCAACGCTGGCAAAACAGAATTTAACAAGGGCCGAGCCCTGTCAGAACTTCTATGTTGAGCCGGGAATTTCCGAATGAGTATTCTATTCCACAGGAGTTCTTTTCTTCGCAAATCGAATCAGTTTTGCAATTCATACTGTGCCAAAAGCTTGGTGTTGTAGCGATGATTCGTCACCATCAGCATCATCATCAGCTCAGCATCATTGCCAGCATCATCATTGTTGTCCTTTGCAAACATCCAGTGTCCTGTTAGGCAGTGCTGGAGATGCTGAGGATGCGTAGTCATGATTCTCATCATGACTGGTGATTATCATCGCGGGCGCCGAGTGGTGATACGTCATGATCAGCATCATCATCGTCGTCCTTCGATTCTTGATCTCCCGTTAGGGAGCGCTGGAGATGCTGGGGACGCGTAGTCACAATTATGATCATGACTGTTGATGCGGGGTACGCAGTGATGCATCATCAGGCGCTCATCATCACCTGGACCATTGTGTTCTGTGCATCACCATCACCATCACCATCATCCTCAGCATCATCATCTATCATCATCGGAAAGGGAAGTGAGGGTGCAATCACGGGACGAAAAGGGAATGAGGGGAAGGACTGCAAATGAAGGAACAGGTATGGGGCTGACATGAAGGGAACAATTTTTTGCAGAAAGCGCAGGGCAAGGGCAGGCCGGAGGCCGGCTGTGTGGTTTCAGCAGGTAGATCCGGCCGCCGGCAGTCGTGGCCGGGCCGAAGGCCTGGCTACCTTCAGGTCCACACCGCGCCGCAGAACTATTGCGCTAGAAACAGACGGGAAATGGATGGAGATGTGCCGGAAAACAAATGGGAAATGGATAGGGGATGAATGGAACATGCCTCAAAATTTGTAAAATAAAGATGGAAGATAGACGCTGGGAGCGCGGGCGGGCGCAAGAACGGGCCTGACGGGCCGGGTTCCCGGTGGCCGGCTGTGTTGGGTCAGCGCGTAAGTCCGGCCTCGCCGTGCCATGTCGCCCAAAGGGGAGACGCCTAGGCTTTGCCTTCCGACTGATGGTTGCTGCCACCGACCCCTCGCATCGTCTGCTTGCCAGCGCTTTCGGCACATCATCACCGCTCGCGGAGCTCGAGCTAGGGGGCAGTGCGTTGCAGACGTCCTCGGAATCCCCTGTGCTTTGCGCATCGCCTGCATCACCGGCGCCGCCCACGTATTCCCAACCAATCGTCAACAGGTAAAAATGAGCGAGTGGCACAGGCCAGCCTGTCATAGGCAACGGTAGAATTGTCTAAGCATTTGGCTCAGGCGGCTACACCCAGGCAAGAACAAAACGTTACTAACCGGTACTGAACCTACATTGGCAGACCAATACTAGCTGCTAAGCCAGAACGAAGAAATCATTTTTCTTAAGCCAAACAGTTTCCTGGACAAGGCTGCTTCTGACCCCGCGGAATGGTCGAAGAAGGTGTTGAGTACTGAGCCCCCAAGCTGTTTGGAGGTCCCTTTGCTAATCACTGCCTCGCGTTGGTCTCTTGTGAATTAATGTCCGTATGCTTGGGGCGCAATCCTACAGTTACAAGTGCAGTCAACTTAAAATATGAGCGATACAAGCATGACCATTCTCAGATCTTCTTGTCGAGGCTGCAATAAGGCAACTAAGAATCCTGAGCAGGGTTCGTGATTAACATAAGAGCGCATTGGAGTGCTCAAGCAGCTGCAAACGCAGAACTGCCAAAACAAACATGCCGCCTCGACATGTTTTTTACTCATGCTCATCTGACAATCAGCTGAATCGTTGTGTGAACAAGCCTGCTGCTTTTGCAGCCATATCCCTTGTCTCCATCAGACGCTCAACCACGTCATTCATCTCAATTCAACATTGTGCTGGTCTACGAGCCGGGATCAGACTTGTTTTTCTCAAGGGTGGATTTTAGACAACCATTACCGTGATCTTGAAGGCAAGAGGCGTGATCGCCATCCACCGCTTGCGGATTCAGCATCTTCTGCGGGTCATACGATGGTAGAGGAATCCTCAGAGCTGTCGCTACCAATTGCCAAAAGGAGTCAGCGAAGCGGGCAGGGAGCCGCGGAGTCCAGCGACTGTGTAAAGGTTCTCAGCGACAATTTTGGACTGCTCCAACGGCCAACGAATGCAACATGACTCTATTCCCAGTGAACCGCGACAACCAAAAGTTATGGTCAAACCGGCCGATTTGCGGTTTAGCCCAGAAAATCAAAGAGGTACACGTGTTTCAGGAAGTACCAAAAGAACTCAGTCCCAACACAGGGGAGAAGGGGCCGATGACCAGGTTGAGGGACGTGACAGGTGTAAGAAAGTTGTTTGAGGTGGCTTTGAATACCAGGCCAAAGATCACCACGACGGTTCGCCGGGTACCTCCGACCGCAACCTGTTTTGCGATGATGAGGACCAATGCCAGGGTATGGCGGCCGCGCGTGAACCCAAACCTTGAGCCAAGCGCCCATTCGGCACGCATGGTTGTTGATAAAACAACGCGTGAACTAAACACACCCCCCTCATCCGATCCGATGTCTGGACAAGAGAAAGGATGCGTGACAGTTGAGTTCACGATGACAGGAACCAACCAAAAATGCCAGTGCCATCTCAGAGATGAGCCAAACAGCATCACCTGGCCCCAATTGAAATCCCGCCACCACCCCGAATTAGCGGGGCGACAGGATTATTTGACGAAATTCCTCTAGCGCCGTTCAAGTAGTGGAGAAGCGGCGCTTGGAGGGGGCTCCTGTCTGGATCACTGCGCCTCGGAATATGCTACATGGTCCCAGCACGCATGTAGATCACCGTGTAGCGCCGCATGACAAGGCAAAGCCGTCGCCGCTCCAGCCCTTCGAAGGCAGATGACAAGGTTGCCAAACTTCTCACCACCTGTCTCGGTGATCACCAATTGGCGCATCACGTCCACGGCGCTCATCCCGTCCAGCATCGACGGGGATGTCATCGCGGCCACGCGCCAGCCACCGGTGCGATCATCCCTTTGTCGGGCCGAAACGGGCTGAGGATCGACCCCGGACGGCTTTTGGATCACGTGATGATCGTGGAGGTGACCGGCCCTCGTGATGAGGGCAAAGGCTGCGGAAAGCTCTTGGCTTCGCCTCTTCGCCGGTGAAGGGAGCCTTCTGCGAGAAGAAGCCCTTGATTCTATCCTTGCTACTTCCCCTAGCCCCAGCGCTGAAAGCGGGGTCGGGGGAGTTGGAAGCAGGCTGAGCCTTGCTCTTTGAGCTTGGATGCCCGCCAGCCGGAACGCGCGCGTCCCCTTTTCGGGGGCAGGAACGCGGCCGCAGTGCCGGGGGCGGCGGTGGAGGGGGAGGAACTGTGTCCTCCGTATCCTCATCCTCGAGCTTCATCAAGGTCTTCAGGCTCCTCGTCATCCACAGAAGGCATCTCCTCATCCTTCAGGGCCAGGAGTCAACTGCGCCGCCTGTCTGAAGCGCCGTTTGGGCTGCGGATCTGCAAGCTCTTGTGTCCCGCGCTTGCGGACGAGCTGCCAAGCACGTGTCGTACGCGACAGTGGATGTCCTGTAGATCAGCTCATCAAGGCATTTGAGGTCATTTAGCTGATAGGCGTAGCCCTTCTTCACGCCCTCCTTCACGGAGTCCATTGCCTCCTTCAGTCGGGCCTTGGGGTCGAAGCCAGCTTTCTTGTGCGTGACTTGCGCCACCCCAACGTGCTGAGCGAGGCACGTCACCTGTGCCTTGAAGACATCTCCCCTCGCATCGTGAGGAAGAATTGGTGATAGGTGTCCGGACCTCAACCGAATGAGCTGGGCCTCAGTCATGTAGTATGACGTGTAGAAAGCGCTGATAGGTTGAAGTTTGCGGTGGTGAGGCGTCTACTCTGCCGCATATGCTTCATACTCCTGGAAGAAGTCGGAGACAGTTCGCCCATTGAAGTGGAGCCCGCGAACCAGCACCGCCTTGGCAACCCACTCTATAGAGTGGTCAACCGTGTCCTGGTATTTGGAGTAGAGCACCTTGTTTTGGAGGGCTTGACACAGCCGGCCGAACACGTCCTCAACATCATCTTGATCGATGTACTTGGGAGGGTGCATGCCGCTGAGCAGCATGGGCCGTGCATCAACCGCGAGGGACTGCGAATAGAGGGCCGGCCTGATAGACATGGCATCACGCCGTCGGTGCAGGTGCACAGGTGTGCCCCGAAAAGGTTTTCCGTCATGCACCTGTGGCATGGAAGGGAGAGAACCCCCCTGACGTGCTCCACCTTCTTGGCGTGCTCGTCCTTCTTCACCTCTTGAAAGCACTTCCGCGGATCATTCGGGAATCGTGCCGAGGAAATCGGGGTGGTAGGTCCATGGTCGAAGGTAGGCGATGGAGTAGTCCTCCTTGATGTACGCACATCGCCAATACCCGATCGCGATATTCTCGCGCGCAAAGGTACCCTGGCGTGTGATGCGCATTCCGCCGTTCTCCATGGCGAAATGACGGGCATCGATCACGAGGACCATGTGTCGGGGATCGCCTCTCTGGCGCCGACCCGAAGTGTGAATCTCGGTCACGTTTCGGTCAGTGATGCGATCGACGGAGTTGGTGGGGCGCTCACCATGGTCCCGAATGGGAACATACTCATCTGGCCGGGAGGGTAGAAGTTCAATCGTCGCTCTACCCGACCTGATGATGGCCCCTCGCTCAACAAAACGGCGATAATCGCAAAGTGGGACCACTTTGTACAGGGTCTTAGGCACCATCTTCGACGCGATAGGCAAGCACACCGGGCTGTCATAGAGCATGTGCTCAGGCCTGAAAATCGGTGTCAGCTGGCCGCAACACGTGCCGAACCAGGGATTAGGCAGCGCTTCTCGTCACGAATGACAGTGAGGATCAGCTCAAAAATGCCAACCCCGTCCTCAAGGAAGGAAGACAGAACATGCAATGCGCAGGCGTCCTCGGTGGTCGGGTTGCCAGGAGGCTCCGAGTCCCATGTTACCTTGTCTTTGTGAGCTAAGATGTCCTCGGCCACTTGCGCTCGTTGGCCGTAAAGCCGTGAAAACTCGGCCTACGGCCGTGATAACTCGCGCGGGAAACTGAAAGGCCGTCACTACTCCGTGAAACAGCCGTGAAAACTCGTGAAATTTCAAGCCCTGAGTTATCTGGTCCTCGCGACACAAATACCTCCTTAGCTCATACGGCCTAAGTAACTTGCAAAGCGGAGCCGAAAAAGTGACGCAACAACTTCGTGAGCTGGCGAATGGACATCACATTTCCCTGACCGCTAGCGGAAGAAGACCCCAATTCCGGGTTGGAACCGCGCCGGTTTTTCCGGGCTGCTTAGCCGTCGTGCATGAAGAAGTCCTGTCCAGCGATTCTCCACCCGATGAAGTAGTCAAGAATCTCCCATCTGCAGGAAGTCCAAGATCGCCGAAACATTTGCGCAGAGAGTTTTGATGGAGTTTCCTATTCTCGGGGTAATGAGCTCTCCAAGCTTTGCGCCAAGGATGACCTTGCTCTTCCGGATGGATTCCTCTTGCGGTTTCTCCATTTGGCGCCGGGATTCATCTGAACCACGCACGGCGTCAGGTCGAACGACGGCCGGCTCGGGCTTGTTGGGCCGCACGAGCTGATCGTCAGGGATCAGGTCGAACAAGCGGGAGGCAGATTTTACTGCCGGAACATTCCGGTACTGCGACGGAACTTGGTAGAAGGAGTAGGCAACGGAGTCATACGAGGATGTCTCCCATCGCGTGTACTCCTCCGAGTCACGGGGGTCACCAACGACCTTGCTCACGGCCCTCAGCTCAGCAAGAGCGCGTTCAGCCTCGAACTGCGAGCCTATGGTGGAGGGAAACATAGTTTTTTCGTCTTCCGTGCATGATAGATGAACTGCCCGGTGTGCAAGTCCCTAGGCTCTTGAGACGGACTAGCCGTGTCGTGAATGCCCAGGCACGCACTCCGGGTCTCACCGGCACCCGGTAGATCGGGCATGAGAGGAGTTTCTGCCGTAGTGGTGAGGATCGGTTTGACGGCGTCTTCGTCTTCTTCGGTCTGCGCAGCTGCAGTCTCACCCTGCTTCCTCGGCCGCCACGGGTTCTTCCCGGGCTTCGGCCATGTTAACGTCCTCAGTCGTTGAAGCTGGTTCGCCGCCGGGGTCTCCTTCGCGGCCTTCTCCTTGGCCTCCCTTATCTCGCGCGCTGTAGGGCGACGATAAGCGGGCCAGGGAACCCCCATGATCTTGTCTGCCCTGTCCTCCTTGGTTCCGGAGACAGCCAGCGGGCCGTACATAGAGCGGAAGATCTGGGCAACCGAGTGCGCCAAGCAGTCCGGGTATTCACCCCGGACCGCGGTTGTTCCTCCTCGTGCGAAAGTCATGCGCACCACCATTCTCCGCATGCGCCACGGCACACCTCTAGAGATAGACTTCCAGAACACGTCCCGCGAAGGTGGGCAGGCTTTGCAACACATGCTTGAAGGTCTTAGTGGATTTCAAGTTCGCTATCAGAAGCTGGTACCAGGGGTCCGTTGCACAAATGGGACAAAGGCACTATTCAGGAATACCTGAAATGCCTCACGTCCTGGGCCTTGAACTCCCGCACCTGATGTCCCATGCAATTATTTGCAAATCACAGGTTGGCAAGAGCCCAGTGTCCTATACTTTGTCTTCTGCTGTGTCAGCCCATTGGCTGACCCAGGAAGAGACATCGAACGCGCCACGCTTTCAAACATCCAACCACCTGGCTTCTTTGCGCCAGGAAAGGGCGCAGCAAGCCCAGGGTCTTCGACAACGGCACAGCCACACATTGACAAGGACACAGTGCCCTTCAAAGCTTTCTTCAAGATCGTCCGCCTCTCCTTCCACAAAGAGTTTGACGAGGAGGGCTTGACCGGCGTGTTCAAGCAGTCAATGTTCGTTGTCTTCACAGACATTCGCATCTATGTCTGCCTCCCCGGCACTGAGCGCAAGCTGGCATGAAAGTGACACCAGCGTTTTCCCTTTGTCAGCCAGACCACGACTCGGCAAGCGCATCTGTCCAGCAAGAGC